AGTTTAAATTCCATCAGTTCTGCCTAAAAACAGTTTAAATTCCATCAGTTCTGCCTAAAAACAGTTTAAATTCCATCAGTTCTGCCTAAAAACAGTTTAAATTCCATCAGTTCTGCCTAAAAACAGTTTAAATTCCATCAGTTCTGCCTAAAAACAGTTTAAATTCCATCAGTTCTGCCTAAAAACAGTTTAAATTCCATCAGTTCTGCCTAAAAACAGTTTAAATTCCATCAGTTCTGCCTAAAAACAGTTTAAATTCCATCAGTTCTGCCTAAAAACAGTTTAAATTCCATCAGTTCTGCCTAAAAACAGTTTAAATTCCATCAGTTCTGCCTAAAAACAGTTTAAATTCCATCAGTTCTGCCTAAAAACAGTTTAAATTCCATCAGTTCTGCCTAAAAACAGTTTAAATTCCATCAGTTCTGCCTAAAAACAGTTTAAATTCCATCAGTTCTGCCTAAAAACAGTTTAAATTCCATCAGTTCTGCCTAAAAACAGTTTAAATTCCATCAGTTCTGCCTAAAAACAGTTTAAATTCCATCAGTTCTGCCTAAAAACAGTTTAAATTCCATCAGTTCTGCCTAAAAACAGTTTAAATTCCATCAGTTCTGCCTAAAAACAGTTTAAATTCCATCAGTTCTGCCTAAAAACAGTTTAAATTCCATCAGTTCTGCCTAAAAACAGTTTAAATTCCATCAGTTCTGCCTAAAAACAGTTTAAATTCCATCAGTTCTGCCTAAAAACAGTTTAAATTCCATCAGTTCTGCCTAAAAACAGTTTAAATTCCATCAGTTCTGCCTAAAAACAGTTTAAATTCCATCAGTTCTGCCTAAAAACAGTTTAAATTCCATCAGTTCTGCCTAAAAACAGTTTAAATTCCATCAGTTCTGCCTAAAAACAGTTTAAATTCCATCAGTTCTGCCTAAAAACAGTTTAAATTCCATCAGTTCTGCCTAAAAACAGTTTAAATTCCATCAGTTCTGCCTAAAAACAGTTTAAATTCCATCAGTTCTGCCTAAAAACAGTTTAAATTCCATCAGTTCTGCCTAAAAACAGTTTAAATTCCATCAGTTCTGCCTAAAAACAGTTTAAATTCCATCAGTTCTGCCTAAAAACAGTTTAAATTCCATCAGTTCTGCCTAAAAACAGTTTAAATTCCATCAGTTCTGCCTAAAAACAGTTTAAATTCCATCAGTTCTGCCTAAAAACAGTTTAAATTCCATCAGTTCTGCCTAAAAACAGTTTAAATTCCATCAGTTCTGCCTAAAAACAGTTTAAATTCCATCAGTTCTGCCTAAAAACAGTTTAAATTCCATCAGTTCTGCCTAAAAACAGTTTAAATTCCATCAGTTCTGCCTAAAAACAGTTTAAATTCCATCAGTTCTGCCTAAAAACAGTTTAAATTCCATCAGTTCTGCCTAAAAACAGTTTAAATTCCATCAGTTCTGCCTAAAAACAGTTTAAATTCCATCAGTTCTGCCTAAAAACAGTTTAAATTCCATCAGTTCTGCCTAAAAACAGTTTAAATTCCATCAGTTCTGCCTAAAAACAGTTTAAATTCCATCAGTTCTGCCTAAAAACAGTTTAAATTCCATCAGTTCTGCCTAAAAACAGTTTAAATTCCATCAGTTCTGCCTAAAAACAGTTTAAATTCCATCAGTTCTGCCTAAAAACAGTTTAAATTCCATCAGTTCTGCCTAAAAACAGTTTAAATTCCATCAGTTCTGCCTAAAAACAGTTTAAATTCCATCAGTTCTGCCTAAAAACAGTTTAAATTCCATCAGTTCTGCCTAAAAACAGTTTAAATTCCATCAGTTCTGCCTAAAAACAGTTTAAATTCCATCAGTTCTGCCTAAAAACAGTTTAAATTCCATCAGTTCTGCCTAAAAACAGTTTAAATTCCATCAGTTCTGCCTAAAAACAGTTTAAATTCCATCAGTTCTGCCTAAAAACAGTTTAAATTCCATCAGTTCTGCCTAAAAACAGTTTAAATTCCATCAGTTCTGCCTAAAAACAGTTTAAATTCCATCAGTTCTGCCTAAAAACAGTTTAAATTCCATCAGTTCTGCCTAAAAACAGTTTAAATTCCATCAGTTCTGCCTAAAAACAGTTTAAATTCCATCAGTTCTGCCTAAAAACAGTTTAAATTCCATCAGTTCTGCCTAAAAACAGTTTAAATTCCATCAGTTCTGCCTAAAAACAGTTTAAATTCCATCAGTTCTGCCTAAAAACAGTTTAAATTCCATCAGTTCTGCCTAAAAACAGTTTAAATTCCATCAGTTCTGCCTAAAAACAGTTTAAATTCCATCAGTTCTGCCTAAAAACAGTTTAAATTCCATCAGTTCTGCCTAAAAACAGTTTAAATTCCATCAGTTCTGCCTAAAAACAGTTTAAATTCCATCAGTTCTGCCTAAAAACAGTTTAAATTCCATCAGTTCTGCCTAAAAACAGTTTAAATTCCATCAGTTCTGCCTAAAAACAGTTTAAATTCCATCAGTTCTGCCTAAAAACAGTTTAAATTCCATCAGTTCTGCCTAAAAACAGTTTAAATTCCATCAGTTCTGCCTAAAAACAGTTTAAATTCCATCAGTTCTGCCTAAAAACAGTTTAAATTCCATCAGTTCTGCCTAAAAACAGTTTAAATTCCATCAGTTCTGCCTAAAAACAGTTTAAATTCCATCAGTTCTGCCTAAAAACAGTTTAAATTCCATCAGTTCTGCCTAAAAACAGTTTAAATTCCATCAGTTCTGCCTAAAAACAGTTTAAATTCCATCAGTTCTGCCTAAAAACAGTTTAAATTCCATCAGTTCTGCCTAAAAACAGTTTAAATTCCATCAGTTCTGCCTAAAAACAGTTTAAATTCCATCAGTTCTGCCTAAAAACAGTTTAAATTCCATCAGTTCTGCCTAAAAACAGTTTAAATTCCATCAGTTCTGCCTAAAAACAGTTTAAATTCCATCAGTTCTGCCTAAAAACAGTTTAAATTCCATCAGTTCTGCCTAAAAACAGTTTAAATTCCATCAGTTCTGCCTAAAAACAGTTTAAATTCCATCAGTTCTGCCTAAAAACAGTTTAAATTCCATCAGTTCTGCCTAAAAACAGTTTAAATTCCATCAGTTCTGCCTAAAAACAGTTTAAATTCCATCAGTTCTGCCTAAAAACAGTTTAAATTCCATCAGTTCTGCCTAAAAACAGTTTAAATTCCATCAGTTCTGCCTAAAAACAGTTTAAATTCCATCAGTTCTGCCTAAAAACAGTTTAAATTCCATCAGTTCTGCCTAAAAACAGTTTAAATTCCATCAGTTCTGCCTAAAAACAGTTTAAATTCCATCAGTTCTGCCTAAAAACAGTTTAAATTCCATCAGTTCTGCCTAAAAACAGTTTAAATTCCATCAGTTCTGCCTAAAAACAGTTTAAATTCCATCAGTTCTGCCTAAAAACAGTTTAAATTCCATCAGTTCTGCCTAAAAACAGTTTAAATTCCATCAGTTCTGCCTAAAAACAGTTTAAATTCCATCAGTTCTGCCTAAAAACAGTTTAAATTCCATCAGTTCTGCCTAAAAACAGTTTAAATTCCATCAGTTCTGCCTAAAAACAGTTTAAATTCCATCAGTTCTGCCTAAAAACAGTTTAAATTCCATCAGTTCTGCCTAAAAACAGTTTAAATTCCATCAGTTCTGCCTAAAAACAGTTTAAATTCCATCAGTTCTGCCTAAAAACAGTTTAAATTCCATCAGTTCTGCCTGAAACAGTTTAAATTCCATCAACCATTCTGGCCAGAACAGCCTTTTTATACTGAGATAAATTGTTAAAGTCCTCACCCGTCTGAGGCAAGAAAAGAACTTACTTGGGAGATATTCCTCACCCAAATTCACAATCGTTTGTTTGCAGAAATCAGTAACTTGGGGCGCAAGTTATCTACTCCAAACTAAGTCTGCTAGAATTTGTATTGCTAGCAGTGGCACGCTCGCACACCAAAGAAAGCTGACTTGTCAACCAGTTTATGGTTCTCAAGGCAGTGGGGAACTTTGCCCTTCCATCACAGGAGTGAACACCGAAACGGGCAAACAGAAATGTCACCACAAAAGAAGGAAGCTCAAAACCAACCAAAGCGAAGAATCAAAATGATGGCTCAAAAGAGTAAACCAAAGCCAAAGCCAAAGCCAAAGCCAAACTATGATTGGAAAGCAAAGCACCCAGACTATGTCCAGTTTCGGTGCAATGTCAATGCTTTCAACAACATCATTACGGACATAAAAGACAAGCTCAATGAAAGGAACATGATGCAACAAAACGAAAGGGAAACAACAAACTGCACTGAATTTTTTGGTCAAATATTGCAACAAATTAAAACTGCAGTGCAGTTTATATAATTAAATAAATAATTTGCTCAAAAAATGTGAAAAGAACCCAAGAGCCAAAGCCATAATCAAAGTACTTTGTTCAAAACACATTTAAGTAGGTCAACAGTTGTAACATTCCAATATACTTGCAAAAATTATTCTAAAATTGAATTATTAAACAAGAAGCTGCACTGCAGTTTCTCGTCAAAATTTGCACTGCTGCTCAAAAGGTAAAGGCATAATCAAAGTACTAAAACTAATATCAAAACACATTTAACTCCATGAGCAGTTATAACATTCCCATAGACTAGCAAAAAGTATTCTGAAATTGAATTATGGGACAAGAAACTGCACTGCAGTTTCTGGTCAAAATCTGCAACAAATAAACAGAAACTGTGCAGTTTCTGCAACAAAATCTGCTCAAATCTGAAAAAAAAAGCATTCAATGGCAGTCAAAAACGAATATCCACTCATGAAACAATTTTATAATTTTCATTAACTTCAAAAAAGAATCATAATATCCAATTAGAAGCTGTGTAGCCAATTAAAAGCAACTAAAACTACAATGCAGGTTTTGCAAAAAGTGCAATGCAGAAACTGACTATACATTCACTAAACCATAACTAACGTAAGCAATCGTCAACTGAGAAGGAATGTTCATATCACAGCCTTGCAAGTGTTCCTATTATGCCCAGTAACACTACACTGACTGCATTTCAATGGCCCTTTAAATTCACCAAAAGCCTTGATCCTCTTTGTTGGTGGTCTTCCGGCTGGCCTCTTCGTAATTGGCGGAAGCACAACTCCAGCTGCAAAACTGTTGCTGCCCAAGCCTTTCCCAATATCTGGAATAGGAAAAATAGGACTCTCATAGGCTTTTCGAAAGAAGTCAGTCCTGTAGCAACACTCCACGTAATCATAAACTGAATCTTTCTTTGCTAGAATTGCAGCCACCGCATGCATGCAAGGAAAACCGTCAATTTGCCAAAGACGGCAAGAGCAAGTCCTTTGCTCAAGATGTCCATCACAGAATAAACAGCAAATACTTCAAAAACAGTGAAACTAGAATGATGAACTACCCAAGTCCTATCGGCCTCCGCATTTTCCCACAGTCTAGTTTCCATCTCCGGACACAAAATTGTTGTCCACTTCTCCGCTTCAATTCGTCGTTGAGAATTCAATACCATCAATTTCTGTCGAATCCCTTCTATCAAAGGTAGCACCGGCAAATCTCGAAACACACCAACCCAATTATTAAATGACTCCGCTAAACTGTTTGCCATCTCCTCATACCGCATTCCTTTGAAATATGCGTTGGCATAGTGATCTCTAGACAAATCAGATATAAATGTCTTCACTTTCGAACTCCCAACAATCATCAACTCCTCTATTGCTACCGTAAACTCTTCCTCTGTAACAGCAAATGCGCATCTACTAAATAAATTGATAACATGGTCTTGGAGCAATTTCCCATAACTTGACTTTGGGTACTTCGATATCAAATTCTGTTTGAGGTGATAGTAACAGTAAGAATGAGGCCATCCAAGAAACACAAACCCCATTGCATTTAACAAACCTTGATTGCGATCCGAGAAAAAGGTCACCACTCTCCCCATCGGTAGCAAAATAGAAGCCAAATGTTGAAGAAATCAAGTCTAATTCTCCTCTGTCTCAGAATCAACAACTCCAAAAGCTAGAGGATAAAACCCTGCAAAACAAAACCAAAAGCACAAGTATAAGCAAAAAAAGGAAATTGCAGTTTGAAAACAAATCTTCTCAAATTTGAAAGGAAACCAAAAGGCAAATCCATGATCCAAGTACTAAAACTAAGTTTAAAACACATTTATGTTCATGAGCAGTTGCAACATTCCCACAGACATACAAAAATTATTAAGAAAATCGAATTATGAAACAAGAAACCGCAATGCAGTTTCTGCTAAAAAAATTGCAACAAATAAAATCTGCAATACATTACAGTAATCATACCTTGATTTCCATTCTTTCCGGAAGCACAGAGAAGCTGCCCCTTGTACTTGCTCTTCAAAAACGTAGCATCAATGAACAACAAAGGTATGCAATATTGAAATCCAGCAATGCAACCGCCAAACGACACAAAAAATCGTCTAAAGCGATTAATTCCAGCTTCACATTCAAGAGTGCAAAGAGAACCAGGGTCAGTTTCCTTTACGGCATCCGCATACCACACTAACTCGTTGAAGGACTTCGACTCATCACCGTGAACGTTCAATTTAGCTAACTCTTTGCCAAACCATGCATGGTAGTGTGAAATATCTATACCATAATAATCTTTGAACTTGTGTATAATCTCAACTGGCTTCAGCTCTGGTTTTGCACGAATTCTATCCACAATGAGGGAGGACACCACACGAGACCTCATCATCTTACTCTTTGATTCCTGTATCCGACCCGCACATGTATGCACATTATTTAATGTCCGAATTACAAAACAGCCAGTAGCTTCGCAACGAGAAGCATAAACCCGCCAGCTACAACCCTTTAATTTCTTATTCGAACAAATAGCAACCACCCGCTTCTTGTCATTGCCGGCATGTAAAAAATTAAATCCTACTTCAAGAGCGTACTTGCACAATTTCAAACGAAACTCCTCTGCACCACCGTCAAACTTCTGCCCTACATGATGTATGTACGTCTCCCACTCATTTGACAACAAAGGCTTAGCACTTGCTCTCTTCAACCTGCCCAAAAATTCATTTCTGTCTTTGACAGTACTAGAACATGACGACTCGCCCTTTTCACATGCTATCAACTCCTTATTTACACAAAAATCACCACTATATTCACTGCTCCCGTATAAATCCTTCACTAAAATATCAATACTCTTCTCATTTGATACAAACAAAAATGTCCTCATCATGTCCAAATCGCTATCCGTTTCTAGAAAACAACTCGGATAACTGGGCAACGAATACCGTAGCGTAAAACAACCCAACTGCAAACCCTTAAACCTTAGACACAAAGTCTTCAAAATATCAACCATGGATGACTCTGATGAAATTGAAAACATAATGGTTTCCGACTTCTATGTGCACTTGGCAATGACACACACCTCCATTAGCCTTGAAAATGCAAACAAAACAACAAACAAAAACAGAAAACAATTCAAATCAGTAAATAATGTACATGAGCAGTTGTAAAATTCCAATAGACTTCCAAATATTAGTCTGAAATCAAATTATGAAATAAGAAACTGCAATGCAGTTTCTGCCAAAACTACAACAAACAGATGCAGTTTATGACAGAAAATCAAAACAATTCGAATAGAAACCAAAAGGAAACCACGATAAAAGTACTAAAACTAAATTCCATAAACATACAAGTCGATATAAACGAAAACAGGTTCTAAAGTACTCATACCTCAAAACTTAGGACTGCCAAAAATCTCCACAACCAAACAGCAGCTTAAAATCAAGTCTGATCACGAAACGAAGAATATAGGGTTTAGCATTGAACGTCACAAGATCGCACCGCAAAATTGAGCCACAAAACTGAGCTCGAAATACTTGAACTAAGGAGAACGTAAATCACCCAAAACTGATAGTCATTCAGCATGCAAATCGAACGAAAACGTAGCAAAAAAAAAGAAAACAGAAAAACGAAGAAAATAAAAGGAAAACCTACTAGAAAATTGAGCTCCAACGGCAGATCCACAACCACAGCTCCGAAACGAAAAAGAAAGAGAAACTCGCGCGTAGTTTAAATATTCGGAGGTAAAGGCGTCATTTAATTTGTAGGTTTACAGATGGGCCAGGCTTTTTAAGAAGAAGAGTAGAATTGTCTTTTCATTTGTTATTTTTAAGCTGGTCCAACGAATCTGTGCCAGTCTTTGACTTAATCTAAAATAGCAATTTTTTCTTATGTATTAAAACCCGAACCAAAATACCTAATATCTCACTTACTAATTAGTAAACCTAATTATGTCTAATACCTAATTTTTCTTAATATCAATGGGGGAATTTCACTTGGGATTTATTTCAACAATGGAAAGAAGTATGACTAGACCAATAACTAACTAGTATGTACATTAAAATCTTAATTTATTGAATTAGGATTCTACTTAGGTACGTTAATAATATTTAGGTCATCTCCCGTCATAAGGTTAAATGTAATCTAGGGTTATAATTTTAGCCCTCCAAAATATTAATTTTTAAAGAATAGTGTAGGGCTAAATTTTTCCATCGCCAGCCATGGAGGGCTATATTTTAGGACCCTCCATATTTTATTATTTTGAGAAAAACCGTTGTACAACACTCATACATTCCACTGTTATATATTGTTTAATTTAATTAAACTACTATTTAGGGACAATATTCCAGATATATGTGTACGTTGATAAGAATTTGAAGAAATTTGGAGGTATTTTGAAAAGAAAAAAATTGCTGCATTTCAAAAGGTTCTGACATCCCAATGGTCAGAACCAATTGTTTATAATTAAAAACAAAAAGAAAAGAATTTGTTAAAGTTTAGATATGTGAGTGAAGCTAATTGATTAATGTATTGATTAAAGAAAGGACGTCACTAAATGCCTCCCAGCTTCTAATGGTTGTGTTATGTCTTTTTCCGATTGTAATAATATAACACAACCCATGGTTCATCATGGAAAAATCTTTTGATAACGAAGCTTAAATTCCCATGGCTTCAAGGAAATTGGGTATAGCAGCGAGGTGTGTATGCTTCGTGCTTTATGGTATCAGTGAAAGATCACTAATATGGCCTTGTAGTTTCGTTTGGGTAGTTTTCCTTTCTTTGGGTTGGCCTGTGTTTTTAGCCTGATCTTGTGCTTTGTTTGCTGAGTCTTTTTGTAGTTTTTGTTGGGCTTAATTGGGCCCTTTGGTTGTTGGTTGGGTTGTTGCCATTTGTTTCTTTATTATTTTTAAAATTTTTTTATAGGTTCCCATTTGTTTCTTGTCTCTTTATGCTGCACTCGAATTCAAATTTTTTTTCTCGTTATTTAAATTAAATTAAAGTAGAATATCGTTTGTATAAAATAAAATATGAATGTAAGTTATAACATGTGTACGTATGAATTTTTAATTTTATTCTATGTGAGTTTTTAAGTTTTTAACCCACTTTGTATTTTTGCCAAGTTTTCATACAACGGAAAAGACAAAATATCTGAAACATATCAGATTCAACATTACTGCTGTATTTATTAGCTTTGTTTTTCCAGAATACGTACATTAATTCAAACATCAATACATTTATTATTAGCTTTGTTTTTTCAGAAGCATATACGAACCTACTTCACGGGATACTGTTTTTCTTTCCCTTTTCTCATTGTGATATGTGGGAAGAAATCTGCAATGCCAATTTCAAAAGGCTCATATTTTAAAATCGGAAAGACTTATGAAGATCTTAGAACTCAAGTGATTAAATTTTTTTAATCTTTTACTCAAAGTTCTATGTTCTTTTAATATCGTTTGTAATAATAATAATAATTGGTAAAACTTTAAACAGATTCTAAGATTGCTTTTTGGCAAAAAACAAATTGAAGTGCTTTTGAGTTATAAAAACACTTTTTGAATAAAACACTTGATTTTTTTTAATTCTTCTACTAAAAATACTTTACCCACTTCTACTAAGGCTGAGCTTAATAGGAGCAAGAGACTTGGTGGCAACAACTAGAATGAAATATGTTGACGCAGAAAAATGGTTCTGTACTTTTCCCGCGCAACTTAGTGATATGTTTTTCCTTCGGTATGCTATGGCCTCGGTAGGGCGTTATACCTGTAAGATAGTAAACGCTCGGTAAGTCCTAGGGCACCGGTGTGGTACCGCCCGAAGGCTCTCCGATGCTTAAGTAAGTACGGATTTGATAAGTTTGAACTACAGATCAATAGGCAGTATGCCGTGAGTTCTGATTGATTACCTCCAACTATGGTAGTTGTCCTCTTTTATAGGCTTTGGGAGGTGTGCAATTTGTTTAGAGTTTCGATGTGGGACTGTGGACATCGATTGTGGGACTGCCACGTGTCCCTGAGGATGAGGTTGCCCTAATGATGCGACCGGTAGGAATGATGCCGAAGAAAGGTGCCGAAGGCTCCCATAGCTCGAGTTTGGTCCACGTGTCCGATGTTCATTGGCTGCTCATTTTGGTATAAACAAAATATTATTTAATCGTGGAAATGTCATGTCAGGTGCACCTAACAAAAGTGTTTATGAGTAGAAATATTTCATACATAAACAGTTTCAAATGTGCCCCTAAACTTAGAACAATAAATTATGAAATTCGTTTCGTCTAAAAAAAATAACGAAGAAGCCGCAAATGTTTTGGTTGTACACAACTATTAACATTAGTTTAAACAAGTTTGTCAATACAATATAGATAATATATTGTGAATAAATTGCAGTTCAGCAATAATAAAACTAAAACTGGTGAAATGAAAGTAGGACTTCCATTCAACCATGAAAGCCATATGCTACCAGATGGAACAAGTCGTACACACGTAGTATGAATAATAGTCTGAAACCATTGCCATATGTGGTTACCTAATCATTAGTTTTTCTCTTTTAATTCCAGAGAGGTTACCTAATTAATATTCTTAGATTTTATTCATTTCAAATTCTTATTATATAATTGATGCAGATGCTAGAGCAAGAACAAAAGATAGGCCAAATTTTTTTAAATATTAATGTAATTAATCATCTCTACTCGTAAACATTATGTTATAAGAATATATCAGGTTTGGAATTTGCCCATAAAAAATGATTAAATTATCCAAAATCAAATATTTTGATGGTCCTAGAAACCAAGGTGGGTGTGGTCCATGTTTCTGGTGAATTCTGAAACCCTAATTGTTAAGTTCCAACGTATTGTTTTGGTCTCACAGGACAACACATCATCCAAATTGCTCATTTCAGGCAAGCTCATGTGAAAGGTTGCCTTTGCTTCCTTCATGGGCAACCACCCAAATGGTGGAAATTTGAGAGTACAGAAACTGCCAAAGTTCCTAGAAACAGTCAAAGTAAATTCTGGGTTTCTCTGCCAAAGTTCCTAGAAACAGTCAAAGTAAATTTTGGGTTTCTCTCTTCTTTCTCTTGCTTAAAGGTTGGAGCAATGAGATGATATCTTGTGTTAGTGACAGTCTTTTGTTAGTTAGAAGTATATAAAAATGTCATTAAAGACTTTTAGCAGTATAATATCTTTTGTCAGTACAATTGAGAATAAAAATTGCCTGAGTTCTTGGAAATAGTCAAAGCAAAATTTAGAATCTCCTTTTTTTTTTTTTTTTCTTACTATGTGTTTAGCTCGGGAGAAGTTACCACCAATATAGCACACCGATATGATGTTAGGAGTTCATTCAAAAATTGTATCCAATCATTAATACAATATGCTTAGAGCTCATTCAAAAAATTAAAGTTACTATGTGTTTATAAATACTTTTATTGAATGCAAGTCGAAACTCTTATAAAAAATTTAAGTACTTCTTAAATAATCATTTAAAAAGCACTTCTATAATTCTGAAGCACAATTAATATTCGAAGCTTATTTTTTTAATATAAGTGATAATCTAAACTATAGAGGGATGAGGTTTTTCGCACACACACTACCACAATGCCGTGAGACTCATTTTCCATTAGGTTAGACCCATTGACACTTTTTCCTATTAAGTTTTTGAGAGTCAAAAATTGCTTTAAACCTGTTCATATATAGTCGCAATACAACCTTAATCTTTTTGTAGGAAATATATTTATTTGGCAACAATTACAACCCTATTGTTATCACCCCACAAAAATCCATTAAAAACCTAATAGGAGCTGTGTGAATTTGGGAATTCAAATTTCATAGCCTTTTATTTATTATTTTATTTATTTATATCAGGCAAATGAACCCTATTTGAAATCGAGCAGCGTCCCATTGTAGAAATTAAAGGCGTCAACGTGCTTTGAAACAAAAAAAAAAAAAAAAAAAAAAAAAAAAAAAAAAAAGAACAAAACAAAAAGACTGGAATATTCAAACATCGCGTGCGGGTAGAGGCAAAATTGGTCCACGCTTGGGTAAAATTTAATTTAACAAACAATAAAATAAAAACAGTTGAGTAATTGTTTTTTTTGTGTTCAATTTCAAACCTTTAAGAAATTAAACCCGAGAAACAGAAACCGAATATTTTATTTTCAAAACACATAAGAAACAAAAAGAAAACCAAGATAAAATCACAAAACAAAAACACATTTAGTGATTCTGAAGCATACAGACAACAAAGGCCATCGATGGCCAGCACCGATGCGAACAAGGCACTCTTTTTCTTCAATTTCCATATCCGGGTAATACGCGTGTTGTTTCTGGGCTCGTCGTTCGATTTTCTTTTGTCTTTGTTCTTGTTTGAGGTGTTGCAATCTCAATTCTTTGTTTGTATTAGTATATAGGAGCGAGACCCAGTTGTTATTTTGCTTCAACTGGTGGCTCGTGGAGGCATTTGGCTTGGAAATCTCGTCTGGGTATCTGTGTTTTGGTCTGTTCTTTGTTCTTTATGTTGTGGTTTTGTTTTTTCTTTTGATTAGTAATGGTTTTGGAGGGGAATGGGGTTTTGTTTTGTTTTTAATTTTTAATTTAAATTGTTGCAGGATTTATCATACTGCTATTTTAAAGTGAGGGAAGTTAGGTTTTGGCAAAATCCCAGCTTTTAGTTCGAAAATTGGTATCTGGGTGGAAATTTGTATGGGAATTTGTTTTCTCTCTCTCTGAAATTTGCTTTCATCAATGATTATGGTGAGAAGGTAGACTTTGGAAAGCTTAGTTTAAACTCTTGTTGATGAATTGTTTTGTAGTGCAGCTTTGAATTGGGGTTTATTGTATTGAGTAAGCTGGTTCCTTTCGTCCTAAAAAAAAAAAAGCTGGTTGCTTGGTTTTAAATGAGGAATGGGATTTGCTTTAGTTTTAAGTTTTTCTTGTAAAATTCCAAACTTATTGTTGTTAGAGCAAATGACGAATGTGGGTTTTAGTCAAGCCCAGTTCTGAATCGATCTGAGTTTGTCCTCATCTTGCTGAATATGTTTATAAATCTGCAAATTTGTTACCTATGTAACAATGGAAGCTGGAAATGGAAGTTTCAGTTTTGGTTTTGGTTTATCATGATTTCTTTTAACTTCGTTCTTCTGTCTCATATCACTTTTAAAGCAGAAAGACTTTCCATTTTTACTTCAAAATATTTTCAAGGGGCATGATTTCTTCTCCAAACTCTATAAAGTCCTTTCTTCTTTTTCTTATGAACTTTTTTGTTGCTACCATAATAATTATGCAATAATAACAGTTGGATATTGATTTTTAAACTAGAGATATTAAGCAAACATAGTTATTTTATAATTATGGAAATTCATAACTTACTGCACCCTTTTCTTGTAATACTCACTATCAAAACAAATTCCATAGTTCATACCAGTAATCAATTTTCCAGCATTTTTAGAGCTAGAAGGGCACTTACAGAGCTAATATGAAAAAATCCAGATATTTATAGGTGTAAGGTCCACCCTAGGAGATTGAGAATCTCCTAGCTGCCAAGCAGGAATCTTTTCCAAGCTCATTAGATATCCGAAAGCAACTGTAGGTTGCATCAACTGAACTGACTTTGCTCATATCTCATAACATTTCTAAGTGTTTTGCGCTGACTAACCAGTGCCATACTGTGTCTATTTCATGAAAGTTTGATGCTAACCTTGTTTTTTGTGTTTTTTCTGGATTTTGGACAAGAGTTGAATAATAAATTGTGTAGAAAAGTATTTCATTCATAGCATGTGATATACCATTTTTTTTTTTAATATTTTGTTTGACAGAAATAGCATGTCCATGGAGAATTGAGAGTGGAACAGAGGGCAAGTTGAATATAGTTTTGGGTCTTTGAGCCATAATTTTTTTTAAGATTTGAATCACTCGTGTCTTCTTGGGGAACTTTGCAAGGGGTTCTTCGATTTGAATCATTCGTGACTCCTGGGGTCATTTTGCAAGGGGGTTCTTGAGTCTCACCTAACAGTTCAGATTATGACATGGCAATGGCAAAGTTGGAGACAGGTAGTATGCTCAATAAAACTTCCCCTGGTTTGGGTGGAAAAAATGGTCTTTATTCAACCAATGGCGTGCATGAGTTACTTGAGTGCCCTGTCTGCACAAATTTGATGTACCCTCCTATTCATCAGGTACATTTGCAGTCCAGATATGTTATGTTTCACCTGAATTTTCTGTTTAACAATTGAAATTAATATTACTATATATCACAAAATCATGCAGCCTATAATATTCTTTGAAAATTTATTGGTGTTGCCTTTATATTTCCTATGGCAGAACATTCAGTGAATGCAATTGCAATCATGAAATGTTTTCTACTTACTTCACTTTAAATGTTTTATAATGTATTTAAATGATGTTACAAATTAAATATTATTTACAGTCAACTTCTTCTCATCACTGGATAAAACATAGGATTGCATTTTTAATTACTTTTAAAAAAGAAAAATGAGAAAAAAGAAATTATTGACCAAATGCAACAGACATGAATTAATGGTTTCAAGCATAAAGGCTCTTTCCCCCCCTTTCCCCACCCCACCAACCAAAGTGACCTTGACAAGACATGGATATATTATTTTCTGAGGGATTTTCTGTAAAGCCTCCATGAAGGAGGCTAGAGTTCTTACTTTTCTCGTTACATATGGGAAAATTATTAACAAAGCAATGGTTGAAAGGAAAGAAAATGTTATGGGTGCATACATGGTAGCACATATGGTGTAGGTAATTGTAGCGGATTATATATTTTTAGTTTAGATGACATTGAGTATTAGGCTTAATAGGTGTGGGGTCAGCTCATTGTCAATGAAGCTTTTAACTGTCGGTTTCCAGTGGTGGAGTGGATGGTTTAAGGAGGGAATATCTTTTGGAAGTTTGGTTGCTCCAGTGTAAAAAATAATTCTCATGAGGGTTTGAAGAGTATGCTTTGCAATTGTAGAGGAATATTGTTTTGGCTTGACTTGTAAACTTGGGTTGCTTTTTATTTTTTTATTTTTTGGGATTGACAGTTGAAACTAATGTCTGGACTCATCATCTTCATATAGTATCTTATGATAAGTTTGCATGATAGTTCTGTGATGCTTCTTTGCTTTAATTTGTTGTAAACTCAGTTCAGTATGTAAAATTGGATAGAACAATCATGCAATCCCCCTTTCTTCGGCCAAAAAAATAAATAAATTTGTCTCTGTAGTGTAGTTGTGACTCCTTCATTTTAGTTGTTATTGTTGACTTAATTTATTCAATCATTTGTATTATTGTTCGTACTATCCAGAGTCTATTATATAGTGGAGTAAACCGTTTTATTTTACTACTTTTAATTTTTAGGTTTTCTGAACACTAAATTCAGTAAATTGCAATGCCCCATGTGCCTTTTACTCAAGTGATAAAATTCTTTGCTTATTGACTTTTTGGGGTCAGATTTCCATGAATCCCCTTGAAGTGACCAATTTCTATCACTTTCTCGTCTCTAATTTCTTATCTTCTTTTAATTGAACCCTAGGGGTAGTGTCTTATGATCCGATATCACATGTTCTTTTTTACTCAATCCTTATGTTTCTAAATTCTTATTTTGCAGTGTCCAAATGGTCACACATTATGTTCAGACTGCAAGATTAGGGTGCACAATTGTTGTCCCACTTGCCGCTATGAACTTGGAGATATAAGGTGTTTGGCTTTGGAGAAAGTTGCTGAATCATTGGAACTTCCATGCAGATACCAGAGTTTAGGCTGTCATGATATATTTCCATACTACAGCAAGCTCAAACATGAGCAACACTGTCGGTTTCGTCTATACAATTGCCCTTATGCTGGATCTGAGTGCTCTGTTACGGGTGATATCCCTACTCTTGTTGGGCATCTTAAGGAGGATCACAAGGTTGACATGCATGATGGGTGTACCTTCAACCATAGATATGTTAAAGCAAACCCAAATGAAGTTGAAAATGCGACTTGGATGCTAACTGTAAGTTTTTCTTTGATTTTGTTGAACATTTTTATAAGAAAAAGTATAAAATCTGGTAGTTTAACCCTCCTTTTGTTATGGTCCATCTTTTGTGCTATGCCTCTTATTGATTCCTCTTGGCTACCTATTCTATATATGGAAGTCTGACCTGCCTCTTGAATTTTGTTTTCTCTTGCAGGTCTTTAATTGTTTTGGAAGACAGTTCTGTTTGCACTTTGAAGCCTTCCAGCTAGGCATGGCTCCAGTCTACATGGCCTTTTTACGATTCATGGGTGATGACATTGAGGCTAAGAAATTCAGCTACAGTTTGGAAGTTGGCGCAAATGGCCGTAAGCTAATATGGCAGGGAATTCCTAGGAGTATCCGGGACAGTCATAGAAAAGTTCGTGACAGCCAAGATGGACTCATTATTCAGAGGAATCTAGCTCTGTATTTCTCTGGTGGGGATAAGCAAGAACTAAAGTTGAGGATTACTGGCCGTATATGGAAAGAAGAATGAAGATCTGGATAGATGGTTTGTGTTTAGGTGTACAGTTAAAAACTCTGAGAATGGCTAGGGTAGCCCCATATTGAAGCATCAAATGTATTTCGTTTGGGTTTTTCGTTTAAAGTTGGAGTTTAAGTGATTGAGCTTGAGGGTATTTTGCAAACTGATTTATCTGCTCACTGCCTGCCAGATCAGAGTTGCAACCTAGTGTTCGAAATGGATATCTGAATTATTCGATGGGTTGATGGAAGTGCAGCAGGATGTCCCTGTTTTGAAGCAATAATTTTGTTTGGTTATTGTGTATGCTTTACCCTCAAGACTGACACGAAGTCCTTGGCTTCATATGTATCTAAATACACCTATTGCCATGTATTTGTACCTATGTGTTTCGGATGCTGTGTGGTCATTAACACCATATGGCCTGAGTTGATGAATCTATTCAAGAGATTTTCTTTTGCTTGGCTTGTTCTGAATCTATTCGAGAGTTTTTCTTTTACTTCAAATTCGGTGGACTGGAATGATGGATAGCAAGAGAACATTCTCTATAGCTTTCTAAGCTCACCTAAAATAAAATACTGCGTTCTCTTGTCATGGAACAGCAGCTACATGCTTTTGGGTTGGACTGTTGCCTAACTCAAGTCAATCCATTGACCACAAAATGTGACAGGAACATGACATGATAGCAACATTTTGTTGGGGAAAAACCGTGTAGATCCCGGTCTCATTGTCCATTTCTCTCTCTCTTATCGCACGACACTTGTGAAAACAAGGGCACTTATTGGGAAGAAAAACTTGCATATTCCAGTTTCATTACCTCTCTCTCTCCTTCTTGTCTTCCCTCTGTCTCTTGAAGTTGAGAGACTTTTTTGTCAGGTAAAATAAGTCTAAGAGATGGAATGTACCTACATTGGTTACATTAGGATGGTCAAAGCTTATGCCAAGCAAGCAGCAAACTTCTGAGTAAGAGCTGTTATTGTAGAATCAAAAGATGAGAATTAACAAATAGATAGTTATATGATCCTAGTTAATATCTTATCTGCTAAAGCATAATATTAATAGCAAACTTAATGTGACAATTATCATCCAAAGCATCTACTATGGATCCAAACCCTACTTTAGGTTGCCAGGATGACTTTGTAAATCAGAGACATTTTGAGCCTCATCTACAAGGGTCTGTCAAAAGCCCTGTAATAATTTTTCCAATAAATTAATTTCTTACTGTTCCATTACACACCCACCTTGGTTTTCTTTTGTGGAATTTAATAATAAAAGAGAGTTCTTATTTATTTATTTATTTATTTTTTTTATCACAAACGGTTCCTAAACTCTTTTGAAGTCTTCATTTTAGTCTTTTAATTCTGAAATCAATCAATGCGGGTCTTTAATTTTTTATCTACACATCAATTTGAGTCATACTATCACATTCTATCAAAATTTTCGTTAAAATTGATAAACTTTAAATGGTATTTTCGTTCAAATATAGCTCATCTACGAAGGAAATAAAATAAAATTCACGTTTTTGCTCAACAAGGCGATATGAAAATTCAAATGATTGAAATGAAGATTTTTGAAAATTTTAAGGGCAGAACGTGATAAAAACTCATAATAAAATCAGTGTTGCATTGCATGGACCAAGAAATAAAAGAAAACCAGCAAATAAAAAGCATGAATTGCCCGGTGAATTTTGGGCCGTTGGATGGGCACGTCAATCTCACAAAGATGAGAAAAATAGCAAATAAAATGGGGGACGTGCAACGTGGGGGCATGTAAAGGCAGACGAAGTAGGGTTGGTTTTAGCGGTTAAAGTCCCGTAGGCCGAGTTTCCCGCGAAACAGAGAAGCATGTGCCCTCCGTCGTCCCAAAACGGACCCCTTCCCTCACAAAATACACAAATCTTGTTTTCTTTCTCCTCTGTTTCCTCTGTTTCTTCTCTGTCCCTCCTCCCCTCCGCTTCCGCTCCCCCATCAGCTCATTTTCATCATTCAAATAATTTTTTTTTTTCTTCTTCTCTTCACCTTTTTTTTTTTTTAAAAAAAAATTTGTAGAATATTGGCATTACCTCTGTGATTGGTTGCATTCTGACAATAGGTAATTACCCTTATGATTTTTTTTTTCTTTTTGGGTTACCCTGAAACTAAACAGATCTTAATTTGTTGATGGTTTCTTTGTTCAATTTTTTTCTTCATAAATTTGGGACAAAAAAGGAACATAGAGGATGCCATTTGGAAGCTAATTTGTCCTCTTTTGGAGGTTTTTTTTTTCATTATAAAGATTATAATTTGATATGGGAATTTTGGGAATTGCAGGAACAATTTTTATTCAGAAATTTTTTTGGGTGCTGAATAAAATTGTGTAGCACTAGTTGTAATTGGCGTTACATGGGCCGTTGATTTTGGTGTGCCACCACAACTTTGAACAATGTCGTGCTGCGGGGGTGCGGAGGAGGAAAACTTTGGTCCACCTGCTAATCAATATAACGCTGCCCCACCTAGAGGTGGAAGTACATATGGAGCAGGAGGTATTATTTTATTCCAATTTCTTTCTCTCTCTTAAAAAGAATAGGTAGTGTTTTCTTATTTGCTACATTGTGAGGTCCATAAGGTTGGTGTTGACTGTTAGCATTTAGCAGTTTGGTTGCCCAACATCTTAGCTCAAGTATGTTAGACGATCACTCGACCCCAAAAGCTTAACTCCTTAACACGCTCCCTCTCATGAACCCCCATCTTGTGCATGAGGGAGGGTGGATAAATGAGTTAGGGTGAGGATCAAGATAGGTCAAGGTTCAACGATTCTTTCTAATGTAATTGAAAAGAATAAGAGGTGGATGGGGGTTTGAAGGTTGCATACCGACCGTCTCTTGAAACTAGAGCTCTGATACCATGTTAGACAATTACATAACTTCAAAAATATCTTGTTTGAAACCCCAAAAAGTTAAGTTCTTAGAAAATTTGTCAACTATATACATCAAGCTAGAATGTCCAACATTTTATCAACTTTCATGCATTACTTGTTGCACAAATTATGCACCTTGTCAAGCATTACAAACCATTGCATTGTGTGTTACAGGCAATGACAGAGGAGAGCCAAGGAGTTCCAATACGGTCAAAAGTGGAGCTCCACAGAAGGCCTTACCGATCGAAATACCGGCTATGCCATTGGATGAATTGAATAGGTTAACGGGTAACTTTGGTCAGAAGGCGTTGATAGGAGAAGGTTCTTATGGCCGAGTTTTCTATGCAAAATTGAGTAATGGTAAGAATGCTGCAATAAAGAAGTTGGATACATCACAAGAGCCAGACTCCGATTTCTCAGCACAAGTAAGATTTTGTGCCATAGTTATTTCCACATTCATGCTGCACATTTTACTCAAAATTTTGAATCAATCTTGTGCAGTTATCAACAGTGTCAAGACTTAAGCATGAGCATTTTGTGGAGTTGATGGGGTATTGCTTGGACGCAAATAATCGAATTTTGATATATGAGTTTGCAGCAATGGGCTCTTTACATGACATATTACATGGTATTCTGAGTTATATATTTGGTTTTTGTGTTTGCTTGTACATTTGTCTCTGTTGGAAACCGATTCATTGATTTGTTGTTCTAAGTGCAGGAAGGAAAGGAGTACAAGGGGCTGAACCAGGTCCAGTTCTTACTTGGAATCAGAGAATTAAAATTGCCTATGGTGCAGCCAAAGGCCTTGAGTATCTGCACGAAAAAATTCAACCTTCAATTGTTCATCGCGATGTCAGATCCAGCAATGTCCTCCTCTTTGATGACCACGTCGCCAAAGTCGCAGACTTCAACTTGACAAATCAGTCATCTGACACAGCTGCGCGACTGCATTCGACTAGAGTCTTAGGAACATTTGGTTATCATGCTCCTGAGTAAGCCTTAGCTCTTGTTTTCTGAATGTTTGACATGATTCTACTACCTAATATAAATAATATTACTAGCTTAGAAGTTAAGCATTGGCGTGAGTTTGACATACTCTGTCCCCTGCAATGGTTAGAAAGAGATGCATAGTTTACATATTAAGGTTAGTATAATATACAGCATAATGTTTTCTTGCCAGATTCTGAATCTTGACCTTCTAATCTATGGTCAGGATTCACAGTCTGCGAACGTAAACATCTTATGTTGCTAGAAAGTCTGGAAATATATATCAATAATTTTTCTATTACCAGAGTCAGCCTTTCTGATCTTCAAACAAAGTTGAGCAAATGCATATCTTCCTCATCTAATTTTAAAATCATTGCTTTCTTTATTATTCAGGTATGCCATGACAGGGCAGATTACTCAGAAGAGTGATGTTTACAGTTTTGGGGTTGTTCTACTAGAGCTTTTGACAGGAAGAAAACCTGTAGATCATACAATGCCCAAGGGGCAACAGAGTCTTGTTACTTGGGTATGTACTTTTCTCACTGTCTCAGACTCTCTCAGTTGCTTTTAGTTCTACTTTTTCAAGCCTCTAACATAAACACACAAAAACCTTTACAGGCAACTCCAAGATTGAGTGAAGACAAAGTGAAGCAGTGTATTGATCCCAAGCTAAACAATGACTTCCAACAAAAGGCAATTGCTAAGGTCTGCTTTAGCATCCCTTCTCTTAACCATCTTACTATGAACAATTTTTGGAAATAGTTATAGCGTAATGCAATTCACACTCCTAATTTGTCAACCCGCACTCCTTTTGCTAGCGTTGTAAATAAGAAAATATTGATTTTTAAGCGTGCAGGTTCATAGCGGCCACCTAGATATATCACACGATAGATAAATGATTGATTCAAATTACCAATTTTTCTAATCATTAATTTTCATTGAATGTTTCAGTTGGCAGCAGTGGCAGCACTTTGTGTTCAGTATGAGGCGGACTTCAGGCCAAACATGACGATTGTTGTGAAGGCTCTACAGCCACTGCTTAACTCAAAACCTGCAGGCCCAGATTCAAAGGCCTAACAAATTTTCAATTCAACCCCAGAATAGAGCAACTTTGGCTTGTGTGTGCTTTGTAATGTATCTTTCTTGTTTGTAAACCTATTCCCATTTTGCTCCACTGAAACAAGAAACTCTCACAAGGGCATGTTCTGCATTGTCATTTATCTGATTCAATACCCGGTGAAAGATCATTTGCGTTTGGTAGATGGTATCGTGAAACTTTCATTAAAAACGCAAGCTACTTAGTTATTCCTCTAGTTTAATGAACCTTTTTGCATTTGCATATTTTTAATTCTCATGTCACTTGAGTAAGTGTTAGATATTGTGATTCGGATCGAACGCAATGGTCATTCTTTCTTACGGAACAAACTTCTTGAGAAAATCTCACATCTTCTTAGTTTTCTTTTTTGATTAACATGATGATTGATTATTTAAGGTACAAAGTAATTCTTTATATTTTTCGTCAAATAAAAAAGGAGATGTAACATGGTACAAAATGACTCTTTACGTTGAAAGAGAAGTCGAATCTAACAAAGATAATCTCATCTATACGTTTTGAGAATGTAAATTTTATGGATATCCATAAATAACTATGAGAGCAAAGAATAAAAACAGAGCCGAGTATAATTCTAAAAGCTAATTGTGTTCCATATCCACATAGAAAAGTCTAAAAGCTAGTATATATCATTTTCACATTACAATGCAGTCTCCTGCGTACATTGACTTGGCCCCACTTGGTATTAGACAATCCATGGGATGGGATCGCCATACACACAGAAAAGAGGGGTCCATATATGACACAATTTTATTCCCATGTTTAAGGCACTAGCATTCACGTCAATTTTGATAATATATATATATATATATATTTTCTTGTCAAAGTCATAAGCGCAGTATAAATACAAAAGTCTCAAAGGCTAGAACAAACGACCCGGAAGGGCTACACCAAACACAGGGGGCAGATTAATACCCTCATCAAATATTTTGATAATATTTTGTTTTTACTCAGCAATTAATACCCCATACATACTTTGTTTGAACTTCATGTTTTGACGACAGAATGACTACACTATGCCCCATCCTCCTAACCAAAGGAGAAAAATGTCGACACAACCTCCACATAGGGACGAGCGCTGAAAGATTTATTAGTATAATTTTCTCTTTTGTTTTGTTAAATTAGTTCCAATAATTTATAATTTCTCATTGTTGAATAAAATATTGGGAGTTTCACTAAAACACCCAAAATGGGGGTTGAAATTATAAAAAAACCCAAACACTATTTAAACATATAAACACACCCAAAACTCATCATTATACACACTCAAAACCCATTTATAAACACACCCAAAAAGTTGACTTTGGGGTTAATTTTGGGTGTGTTTCTATGTTTAAATAGTGCTTGGGTTTTTTTTATAAATACATGTCTAGAATTGGGTTTTTTTTATAAATTTGTATACAATATTTGGGGTGCTTCTTGTAGCATGCTAATTTGGTAATAATAGAATTGGAAAACAATTTCACCTTACTTAGGCTATACTTACCACACTTATGTTCAATTATTAGTATATATGTGGGCGAGCGAGCGTAACACTCTAATAAATATTTAAGTTAATCACTTGTGTGTGTCTACTCGGCAATATGACAATACGATTTAAATAGTCTATTTTTGTATATGTTCATGTTCAAAAGTGCGTTTTGAAAAAAAAAAGTATAATTGCAAGGATATAACTAGTAAACTATGATCATATAAATACTTTCGATTACTTGCTTTTTGCAACAACTATACTCGTATGGCTCAAGATATGGACGGTATTCTTGCATATAGCATCCAAACAATGTGGTATTGAAATTAACGAATGGTGAGGATAATCGGGTCTCAGGTGTGGAAACATTAACGATGAGTTAAGATAATGTAATGCTCGAATATATTGATTCATATATGGAGGGCATAATTAGAATGAGTTCTAATTTGTAAATATTATTTGTGATTAACCTTATTGTTATTCCCACTACCGGGTTAATTAGAATGGAAAATGTCCCAAGCAGTAGAGGTGAATAGTAGTTTTGGTGAATGAGAGGGTAACATAAACTTATGGGCGGGGCAATTGATTAATTGAGCAAAGTTGTATGTTTTTTTTTGTTGTTGTCAAAGTTAGGAAGGGAATGGGGTGTTTTCTTACACGCACACTACCAAAGTACTATGGGGGTTCAAACTTGAGACCACTGATTTGCAAATTAAGGTTCTTTTCCATTAGGCTAGACCCCATTCGCAGCAAAGTTATATATTTAATCAAGAGTTAAAATACGGTCTTTATATAAGTAATTAAGAGCTAATTAATTCATGATTGTGTAAACCCATTTGGGCTTGGACTGACACATTTACTTACATGTTAGAGAATAAGAATAAACTGAATGATTTCCATTCTTGACATCTGCATTTATTTACACATAAGGAATCATGAATGTCACATTTCGGGATCGACTCCGCCGTAGCACTCTATTGTCCGCTTTGGGCTCCCATCTCTGTCCTCAAGGTTTTGTTTTTGGGAACTCACGAGCAACTTCCACCAGTAGGTCACTCATCCTGTGATTGCTTTAGTCCCTACTCGCTTAATTTCAGAGTTCCCATGACTCCGAAGGCAGTGAGCTCCCAAAAGACCTCGTGCTAGATGGAGGTGGGCATGTACATATAAGGCACATCACCCCCTCTCTATTGGTCGATGTGGGATGTTACAATCCACCCCCCTTAGGGCTCCGACTTCCTCGTCGGCACACTCGCACCACACGACATAGTGGCTCTAATACTAAGTTGACAGGACCCGCACCGAATTCCTCGAAACCCGATACGAATCCTGTGGAAATTCAGACATCACACCGATGTCGGGCCCACTTCTGATACTATATCATCTTTTCCAAAATTAAGGATAAAGGGCACGAGACTTTCTGCTGAAATTTCGACAGAGCCTCCCCTATAAATTGGACTTTCCCAAATTTCTTAACCTGTGAAAACACAATTTATAAACACCAACTGGAGGCATGCACAAGGTATTAATATGTAATTTACATAATAGGCCTCTGGCCTTCAAATGATTCAAGGCAGAACAACTAGCAATGTAATTAAGGAACTCAAATAATTTTACGAATACCACTGCAGTCAACATAAAATAACTTCCCAAATTTTCAACCTACAGAAGGGCAATAATGCTTTCCACAAATTTTCAGCATGCAACAACTACCATCTATAAATTATCACCAGTAGTCTCAGGGGCCTCGGCACAATATAATCAAAACCGAACCCAACAGCAGTAATATTTAGGATTCAAATCCAACAACCACATCGAAAACCAATCACATACTCAGAATCGGTCAAACCTTTTAAATATAGTTTATTTCGAGGCTATAACCGGGTGGGACCCTAGGCTACCTACGTACCCTTACTGAGGGATCAAGCACACGTAGTTCTAAAGTCAACAGTCACAACTTCGATAATATACAAATTTCCTTTCTTTTATCAATTCTTTCCACGCAACCATACCTTATCCAAGGCGTACGTTGCCAAACAACACTTCCCAATCCGGAACTTAGACATTCATACCAGTGCATGGTAATCACGAAGCACAAACTCAAGAATCTCAAATACCATTTGTGACGTCCTTAGCGTCGACAAGGTGCCATTCCGTGTCGGAAAACATTATCGTGCCAAAACTTAAGGATGCACACAAGGTGCAGAGTCCACAGGAAATTGAACCTAAATCACTGATACCAAATTGTCACATCCTAGGATCGACTCCGCCGTAGCACGATATTGTCCGCTTTGGGCCCCCTTTCTGCCCTCACGGTTTTGTTTTTGGGAACTCACAAACAACTTCTCAGTGGGTTACCTATCCTATGATTGTTCTAGCCCCCACTCGTTTAACTTTGGAGTTCTCATGATTCCGAAGCCAGTGAGCTTCCAAAAAGCCTCATGCTAGATGGAGGAGGGCATATACATATAGGCACATCACCCCCTCTCTGTTGGTCGATATGGGATGTTACATGTAATATACGGGTCCCACCTTAAAATCCTTAATGAAATACTTCAAAAACTAAGAATCAGATCAACTAAGTTATATTTCTTCTTATACCATTACTTATAAGTAAACATACCATAGTGATTTGGTGGTTATCACATTAGAATGAGGCTCCATTGGTTTTGGTTTGTTTTTCATTGTTCTTGAATTTATTTTGTTTTTTTATTTTCAATTTTATATTTGGGTAAAATAAGAATTTCGAGAAAATATTATTGGTGTTGGATGTGGAAAAAAATTGTTTGAGTCCCAATGAAATTTATATAGAAGTATGGTGATCTTTTTCATTTTTATTAAATATTTTGTTTTCTTTGTAAAACAATATTGAGGCCTTCACACTATGGGTGGCATTTTAAACCGAAAAACTGAAAAACCGCAAAAACCAACCGACAATTTACCGCAATGAAACCGCAATCGCGGTAAACCGAACCGCATTTGCGGTATTAAGAACCGAACCGCATTTGCGGTTGCGGTTGCGGTATTTGATTTTCAAAACTTGCGGTTACCGCAAACCGCAAAGTATAGCCACACGGATGATGAAGTTGAATTTTACAAGGAAATGGAACATATGACAACTTGTAAGTAATTAGTTTATTTATACTAATGTTATTTATGCTTCTTCTTATAATAAAATGTACTACACTATGTTGTTTTATTTGTAAATAACATTGGTACTCAAACAACACAACGGGGTTCTTCAAATCCACTCACCACCAACACTTGAGTTTGTAACATTGATGCATTGCATTTTCTTTTTAATTTGTAACTTTAATTAACTTTGAATTGAATTTTTCTTTTTTGTTGTAACTTTAATTCATTTTGCTTTACATTTTGCTTTTGGTTTATAACTTTAAAGGATTTGGAATTGGAATGCTTGAGAAGTTTAACTTTAATTGGAATGCTTGGAATTGTAACTTTAATTTTCTTAGGTTGTGAATGCTTGAGAAGTTGATGAGATTGTGAATTTATATATGTTTGAGAAATTGAGGTTGTGAATTTATATTTTTGTGAATGCTTGAGAACTCGCGGTTTTAAACCTCAAAACGTGGTCGGTTTGCGGTTTCAAAAATCACCAAACCGCAAATAGTCGGTCGGTTTGCGATTTGAATAAAAATTCGCGGTTACCGAACCGCAACCACCCCTACTTCACACCTAATTTAATCAAACAAGAATGAGAATAACAAATCCGATATGTGGGCTTATAAGTTATATATAATAAGAAATGTGACGGTTAATAAAGCAGAGATGAAATTGACAATATAGCCTAGAGTAAGTACTTTCACACTCTTGTATGTATGTATGTGTGTATGTATTATTACTAATAATCGGTTTTCATATCAAACTGCTATCAAATGAAAATTCCATACCAAAAGGAAAAAAAAAAGTGGAAAAGAAAAAAGTTACAAATTTGTATATTGATTTTTGTTTGTTGAAAAATTAATTCATCTGTGATTTTATTTATTTATTTATTTTCAATCCTGTAAATTGTATCGTAACAGTATTCTCTCTCTCTCTCTCTCTCTGTCTCATTTGGTTTTACCCGTGCCTCCCTTATAGCTACCATTAGTCCATTCCCAAAGCCTTCCTTTGTCTCTCTCTCTCTCTCTCTCTCTACAAATATATACGCAGCACCATATCTCATCGTCTTCAACCAAAACCCCACTACATCCCTCTCTCTTTCTGAATCTCTTCCTTACTTCTCATCCCTTCAATCCAATCCAATCCAATCCAATTCAATTCAATTCAATTGAATTTAACCCGCAATCCCAATAATCAGATTCACCTCCAACGCAATTGATTTCGATCCAATAACCTTTCGCTCCTCGATCTATAATTCCTAAATTAAATGTTCTTCGATTTAATTTCGGTTTTTGATACTCGATAATCGATCGGATTGGATCCGAATCGGACCCTGAACGCGTTGCTGGAGATGGGAAGGGCGGGTGAATGAGAATTCTATGACTGCTTGAACCAAATATGCCCGGCTTACCTCAGAGAAATGACCAATTCTGTAATGGGTCGTCGCCCATTTACTCCCTCTCTTCGCCCAACGGCTTTTGGTCCAAGCATCGCGATGATGTTAGCTACAATCAGCTCCAGAAGGTACTCAATTATTTCTAATTTATTCAGTTTGTGCATTTGTAATGGGTTGAGATTGATATGGATCACTTTTTTGTATCGTGTTTTATCAATGACTTTAATGGGCACTTTGAGTTTGAATTGGATCTTGCACTATCAAGCTATCTGATGGAGGTGTTGTTGAGGTTATATTTGTGCGATTGTTTATTGGAGGTCTAGTTTTGATTGGAATGCTAGTGTTTTGTTTATCGGATCCACTCTACTTGTATATATAGATATAATCTTATGATTAATTATGTATATGAGTTGAGAATTGCGTAATGTCTACTATTATCAGAGAGTGTTTATCATCAGCATTTTGTTTCCAAAGTGCTCTTCATATGCGAGGTAAGGACGTATAAAGTAGAATAGAAAGAAATGTTATGATTTTGATTATTCCTGGTGGGCTAGTTATAATGGAGCATCTCGGTATACCAAGTCTAATGCACCTGTGGTGCTTAGGTCATTGTAAAACTTACAGGCTTGCATGCTAAGGGAACCTAAAACACAGACACACACCGAAACACATGTAGACTCTTCATCCGCACAAGCATGCAACAGGAAGAAAAGTTGTGTTTGTTGCGTCTTGATATACTTTTCGTAGTTACTGGTCCTAAGACTCGGGCTCCTTTAATACGTTGGTGGCTGTAGTTGGGTTTAATAAGAAATTTCCTTGTAGTAAGGATAACATTGTTCAATACACAGATTGCACATTATTCCTTTTGTTTGTGACTATTGATGGTGTGAATAGTCTCTTATGAAGTTCTATTTACTTTTGACAGTTTTGGAGTGAGTTGTCGCCACAAGCTCGGCAGAAGCTTCTCATAATTGACAAGCAAACTCTTTTTGAGCAAGCTCGTAAGAACATGTACTGCTCTCGGTGCAATGGGTTATTGCTTGAAGGATTTTTGCAGATTGTCATGTATGGAAAGTCTTTGAAGCAGGAGGGAACAGATGGGCAAATATCCTGCAACAGATCAAGAGCCTCAAAAAATCATAAGGATGGTGGGTCAAGTATTACTAATGGGTGTCATGATGAAATCCCAGATCCATCTGTCCATCCTTGGGGTGGTCTGACGATAACACGTGAAGGGTCATTGACACTCATTGATTGCTATTTGTATTGCAAGTCTCTCAAGGGACTTCAAAATGTAAGTTCTGATGATTTTATTAATTTTATGAGATTAATTTAGGGTGCTGATTTTCCCACTCCTCTTTTTGTCCACTTACACTCCCTTTTGTTTTTAATACTTTTTGCTATAACAAAAAATGGAGTGTAAGTGGACAAAAGAGGAGTGAGTACATACAATTTCCAACAAAGGGAGGGTAAGTGGACAAAAGAGGAGTGGGAAAATCAGCTCCCTTAATTTATTATCCAATTTCATTATAGTAGCTGATGTTTTGCTTGAATCAGGTGTTTGACAGTGCGCGTGCAAGGGAACGAGAACGTGAATTGCTTTATCCTGATGCCTGTGGTGGGGGAGGTCGGGGTTGGATAAGCCAAGGAATGGCAAGTTATGGAAGAGGTCATGGAACAAGAGAAACATGTGCATTGCACACTGCCAGGCTTTCTTGCGATACATTGGTGGATTTTTGGTCAGCACTTGGAGAAGAAACTCGGCAGTCTCTTCTTAGGATGAAGGAAGAGGATTTTATTGAGAGGCTTATGTACAGGTGATTAGCCATTTATTTATCCCTTCTGCTTGAAATTAAATATAGAACAGTGGAAGTGCCAGATAATGGAGATAGCGGAGCAAGTTTCAGTTATTGGACCTGCAAGATTAATACTGATATTGGGGATGTTCAGCCTGGTAAAGTTGATCGGGAAGAGAAAAGTAGCTTAATTTGGAACAATAGATGTCCAATATCAGCTGGTGTACCCTTGAAGGGTCAATTAATTTTTATTTGGGTTCAAGCACCTAGTAAGTATAATGTTGGGTATTTGAAATTCCTCACCAAAAAATATGCAGGTGAACAGTAAGGAGAGCAATCTGTCTTATGGGCAATATTGCAGAAGATACATAATGAATGGCAACATATTCGAAGTGGATAAATGCATCCTTCATATTAACTGAATTTGATGAAGAGTGATATGCTGTAGGTGATAAATTTTTCCTGGATTCAGTAACAGACACCACCAAGACCCCTAAACATTTAAAGATTTGAGTCTTATCAATGTAAAAAGTAATGCATAGCCGTATTGATGAGGCATCATTAATTTAGAAACAACCTGTTTTGAATTCATAGTGGGTGTGGTTTTGTGGCTGTGTTGTATATATATGTATATATATGTTCAGAAAAGGTTTGCCCTGTTACTAATTAATGTGTCATAGGATTGTTTTATTCTTACATCTTTGTGTTCTGGTTGTTCATTCCTAGTTCTATTGCAATTTATTTGAATTATTAAACAATCAGTGGCTTTTCTTTTTGCATAACATCTGGCCGTTATAGGTTATTTTAAATTTGATAGAGTTACATTATAGGTTCTTTATGTCGTGATATCTCCGAAGTCCTCATCAATTACTCTTAATTCATGCTGCACGCTTTATAAGAATTCATGTTATAGTGTTCTTGTTTGTATTAAGATTTTGATGTTCATGTCACAGGTTTGACAGCAAGAGATTTTGCAGAGATTGCAGAAGGAATGTAATCCGTGAGTTCAAGGAGCTAAAGGAGCTGAAGCGCTTGCGGAGGGAACCTCGATGCACTAATTGGTTTTGTGTTGCAGATTCCGCCTTTCAGTATGAGGTGTGGCCTCATATGTTTCTTTAATTTTGACTTTTTCTGATTTCAGTTATGGTTGTTGTTTTCTCTAAGTCATCCATGAGCAAAACTGGTGAGATACGAAATTTTGATAGTGGGGCCACTTTATTTATGCAGCGTTTTTTTGATGATACATACAGATGATGTGATGTCTATTTTATGTCATCACAGGTATCCGATGGCACAGTCCAAGCTGACTGGCGCCATACTTTTGCCGATACCGTCGGGACTTACCATCACTTTGAATGGGCAGTTGGAACAGGCGAGGGAAAATCTGACATTCTGGAATTTGAAAATGTTGGCATGAATGGAAGTGTTAAGGTCAATGGCCTTGATCTTGGTGGTTTAAGTGCATGCTTTATCACCCTGAGGGCTTGGAAACTAGATGGTCGCTGCACTGAGCTTTCTGTAAAAGCTCATGCGTTGAAGGGTCAACAATGTGTTCACTGTAGGCTTATAGTTGGAGATGGCTATGTAACAATCACAAGAGGAGAAACTGTCAGAAGGTTTTTTGAGCATGCTGAAGAGGCAGAGGAAGAAGAGGTAGTTAAGATCCAGAAAAGCTTATTATAGGCAATTGAGACTTATATCTTAAGGGGTTAAAACTAATGTGTTATGTTTATTTAATGTTTTTTTTCTTCAGGATGATGATTCCATGGACAAGGATGGAAATGAGCTGGATGGAGAATGCTCCCGTCCGCAAAAACATGCGAAGAGTCCTGAACTTGCTCGTGAATTTCTTCTAGATGCTGCAACTGTTATTTTCAAGGAGCAGGCATGTTCATTCTGCTGATAAGCTTGTCTTTGTTTTTTAAAACTCCGCTCCTTGTTTGATTACCTTTTGGGTGATCATATGTTCATTCATGTTATTCTAAAAACTCAGTTAGGTATACAGTTCAGTCTATATAGACATTGTTGTGGATTGTGGAAAGTAAAGAGGGATAATTATATTTGTTATGCAAGGAATGACACAAATTGTGGTGAGGTGAATGGTGTCTAGGGTAATGCAATCACAATGGTGCACTAGTATTACTATTTAAACCTTTTGTTTTAATTATTGAGGAAATGGTATTTAAAGGTTGAAGAACCTATGGTGGGGAAAGAGGAAGAAAAGGAATTTGACTAGCCACAAGTTGTGTACACTTTGTCTTCATAGCAGAATAAGGAGGAACTTCTCCTTACCTACTAATGTGGCTCAACCACAAACTAACACTTGTCCTTTTTTTAAATTCTCAAAGGTGCATTTATTTTTCACTTTAATTATTCTTCACAAAAGAGGCACGTATCAGATTTTGGCTGAGCCACATCAGTAAGCAAGGAGGAGTTTCTCCTTATGGGCAAGGCGGGAAGCATTATCCTTGTTAAAATATTATGGCTTTCGAGCACCAAACATATGTTTGCACCACGCTACGCTGTGCAATTACTCACTATGTGCTTGTGTAATGCTGGCACATTTCTGAGTATGCATGTTGTGTGACTTTAATATTAAGTATACCATGTTTGACCGTGAATGCTATTCTTTCAGGTGGAAAAGGCATTTAGAGAAGGAACAGCTCGCCAAAATGCACATAGCATCTTTGTTTGTCTTGCACTAAAGCTGCTGGAAGAACGAGTTCATGTTGCTTGTAAAGATATAATTACTCTTGAAAAGCAGGTCTTAAATCTTGTTATATTTAAAGATAAGATACTAGGAAGAAAAACCAGAAGAGCCATTTTCAGTTTCAGGAGAAACACTTCTGACGGCTTTGTACTTTTTCCTACAGATGAAGCTTCTGGAAGAGGAAGAAAAAGAAAAGCGCGAGGAAGAAGAACGCAAAGAGAGGAGAAGGACAAAAGAAAGAGAGAAAAAGCTACGAAGAAAGGAGAGGTTGAAAGGGAAAGAAAAGGATAAAGATAAGAAATGTTCTGAAGCAAATCAAACTCTTGATCTTCACGATGTCTCAAAGGAAGAATCATCATCACTAATTGCTGATGAGGAGCCTAATAGTTCCATTAGCTGCAAGGATTCAGTTAGTGAAGCTGGTGATGATATTCTGTCTAGACCTGGATCTCCTGACACTCCAGATGAACAGTTCCAAAATGATTATATTATTTCAAAAATTGAAGATCCTTGTTATGATAGTTTTGATGGTGAAATTAGCAATGGGAAAAGTGGTACGGGTTCTTTTATAGCTGAACAATCAAAGTTTTCTCGACGGAGATTGAAATTTAGGAGAGAAGTTCAACTTGATGCATCTTTGAAGTGGTCTGACAGGCGCCGATATGCTGCTGTTTCAGATAGTGCTTCTGTGGTTAATAGATCTGAGTCGAGATGTAATGGTGATAATTTGGAGACTTCCTCAAGGGGCATCAATGGATCAAACAGGCAATTAAGAGTGAATGGCCCAAAGTCCAATGGTCGGCATAGTGGTCCTAAGTTTACTGAGAAGTTCCTCTCCCCCAGCAACCGGATGAGTGACAGATATGACTTCCATTCTTGCAACTGTAACAAAAATACTGAATATAGAGCAAAGGTAGAACCCCATGTTTCTGCTGCCAGAGTGGGCTGGGAGACCAAAACTGCAAGTAAGTCGGAATCTGCATTAGATATTTCTAAGCAATTCTATCGTGGTAACAGGTATAACCAAGTAGAACACATGCGTGATAGTTGTGCAAGACCCAAAAACAAAGTCAATTCAGGGGACAATCCTGGTACAGATTTGCCTCAACCCAGGAAAATTTGGGAGCCCGTAGAGCCAACGAAAAAGTATCCTCGAAGTAACTCAGACTCTGATGTTACCTTGAGGTCATCTGCTTTCAAGTCTGAAGATAAAAACATGAAGTCATCTGGTGACATATGTACAGGTGATATTGTGGAAAATTCAGGTGAAGTTGATGAAGTTAATAATTTGAAGGAATTAAGAAAATCCAGCATAGGAATGGATGTCAGTTGTCAGAACGGATTTCATGCAGGAGCACAGGATTCTATTGACACTGCATTGAATGGAATTTCTGACTCCACAGTCGGCAGCAGTTCTAATTCTGATAACTGCTCATCATGCCTCAGTGAGGGAGACAGCAATACAACCTCGTCAAATCATGGAAATCAGGAATCTTCTTCCACTTCAGATTCAGAAGATGCCAGCCAGAAATCAGGAGGAAAAGAAACTTCTTTATCCATTCAAAATGGATTCCCAGAGTGCCATAGTATGGAGAATAATCTGGATGCAAAGAGAGGGGAGTCTATGGAAAGCAGGGCACTGAGTGGCCCTTCACTGAATGGAGCAGGGAGTAACATTCTTGGGAATCCATCAACAAATATTGCTCAGAGACTTGATAATGGTTTGTCTGCTATTAGTGTGGGTTCTCAGCATCATGGCATGCTTACTCCAATGCATAACCAAAATGTACACTTTCCCTTATTTCAAGCTCCTTCAATGGGTTACTATCACCAAAGTTCAGTTTCATGGCCTGCTGCCCCAAACAGTGGAATGATGTCTTTTCCTCATCCCAACCACTATCTATATGCTGGCCCTCTTGGGTATGGTATGAATGGAAACTCAGGCTTCTGCATGCCGTATAGTCCTGTGCAGCATGTACCCACTCCCTTGTTTACCCCTGGCCCAGTTCCAATTTATCCAGCCATCAATACAGAGGAGCAGACTCAAATTTCTAACCCAGGTGTGCAAGAATCTCTTTATGAAGCTAATACAGAGAGTGTGGATCCATCTGGACCGTATTCAATGCAAGAACCGGCAAGTGGAGAACGAGCACAAGACGATAATTCTGGCAGATTGCATACGAGTAATGATAGCTTTTCCTTATTCCATTATGGTGGCCCTCTTGCTGATCCTCCAGGATGTAACTCAAATCTTATGCCGTTGGAAGAACAGACTGTTGGGGATTTTCCACAAAAATGTTCAGATCATGTTGAGAATGATCATCATGCGTGCAATAAGAAAGAGGCTACTATCGAAGAATACAACCTGTTTGCAGCAAGTAATGGCATAAGGTTTTCATTCTTCTGATGTAGTTGTAAGAAGGTGTGAGGTGGCTGTTCAGGAATTCAGTCTCTATCTTCTTATTTGGTGATGAAGGTTTGTGGTACCTGGTATATGGTACACAATAATCTTCCTTTGAAAAATTCCAATTTTAGCTCATAGTATTTTTTTTCCTCTTTAGTTATCCAAGTTGTCCCATCGTTTTTTTTGTCTATTATAGAGAAGGGAGAGTGCTACTATGTTTGAAGATTCTGTAGAGGCCAGGTTTTGTTTTTTCTTTTTTACTTTTATTAAATGAAGAATTTATTGGTATGGAAATTTTCTTTTTGTATTTCAGAGCTGAAACAGTCCCATCTGTTGTACTTGTTTTAGGATTTTGAGCCTCCTAAAACATTGTCAGTTAATTAATTGAAATTTATTGGCTGATGAAAATAATGGGGCTTATGAGGAAGTTATTTGTCATTTCTTAATGCAAACTTGTTGAGAATCAATGTTTATTTTTATGCTCACTAAAATCGTTCCTGCGTTGTTACCTCAAATTTTTTATGGCTTTGGATTTTGTTTGCCATTCAAGTCATCATTGGCATCCACCTTTTCCAATGGCATATGGCATGGCTCTACACAACACAATTGAAAGCCAAAGGGAAGAAACAACCGAAGGAGAAAAAAACTGAGGGAGGAGGCTCTCCATTTGTGGGTAGGGTCTAGAGAAGAGAAGAAGGCTTGATGAAGTTCAGGTTTTGCAGAGATAAGATGCGTTTTCATTTCTTTTAATTAATGTGATGGATGTTGTTTAGCCAAGTCATGCCACGAGTTGGGAAGAGAAGTCGGGGTTAAACGGCGTTTTCAAATACTTTTGTACCTGACACATCATTTGGTGAACAAATTTGATTAAACGGGAGTTCAATTCTTGAACAAAAGCCTAACTGAGCAAAAGGCTAATTGGCTCAGTGTCTGGCACTAGGGAAATGGCCCAAAGATAAGAATCTTAAACCAAAGAAACATAACGCAGGCAGGCAAAAAGGTGCAAGTATAAATTTTCAGTTGAATCCACTGTTTCTTGCACAAGGAACTCTCAAGAATCAACTATCAGTTTCTTGCCCCACTAAACTTTAATACAGCAAGATAAAAACCAGGCTCGTCGACATAGTCGGTTAACTCGAAAGAATGTTGTGCTGCAACTTCCTGTAAAGTCTTCTTCTCAGGCAAGTCAGAAGTTACAACATCTGGATATTGTTGTCGTTGTTGCTCTAAAACTTCTCTTCCTTGGGGATGGCTAATAACCAGTCTTGCACCTATACAAGCAACAGCCATAACTCAGAATGCAACTTCAGGGTGAGCCCTGAATAACATGCCAGGATGAATCCGAGGCAAACAATGACACGTAATCGAGGCTGAGAAGCAGTAGCACAACACAGACATGAATGAAAAGAAAAATTGATACAAGAAAATCACCTGGCAAAAAACACCTTGCAAGTGCTCCAAACGCCTCATCAAGTGTAAAGGGCATGGCTGGAAGGAAATAAAGGAACACAACGTCTAAAGGTGCCCACTTATCAGGTACATATATTAATTCTCCTTGCCAACACTTAACCTTGTCATATTTTTCTTTAATGCCAGCTAACACAAAAAGTGAATCATGGACAACAAGCAAGAGATTGCAGGGTGATGATTCAACCACCCGATCCACAAATCCTTCGGAACCAATTGAAACCATAACTCTTGAAGTTTCTTCAATTTCTCCCGCAGATATAATGCGATCAATGTTTAGGTTATAATCTGGACCAGAACTGAAATCAGCGGAATCAAGAAAGGACCAGTCTTTCTCAGCAAAATCGTCGAAGTTGATTACAGAGACTACTCCTTCATCCGGTGGAGCTGTAGCACCACAAAATGATCGCCGAGCACGCAAAGCCTGATGCGGAATAAAAGGAAAGGAAAGAGAAAGAGGAGAGATGCAACGATTCCGATAACAGACACGGTTGGGGAACGTATAATGAGGTTGTGTTTGAAGACAAGGTAGCAACTGGAAACTAGGTAGGGGAATGCAAAGGGACTGCGATGAGAAAACAGAATTCATTGCAGAGAACAACTGAATTTCCTTTTGGGATGCAAAGGCTTAATTATTGATAAATCAAAATGAACCGAAAGGGTTTCTGCTATTATTTCAAAAGTAGTTTGGTTCAACTAGGTATCACAACCGGTTACACTAATCTTTTTATCAGAACCCCTGCATATAAGAACGAAGAAACCAACTATTGTCAAGCCTGAAACTGAAACTTAAATACTCAAACCATTCAATTTCAGACTGATAATAAGATAATTAATTACTCAGTTCTAAGCTAACATCAACTTTGTTTCAGGCATTAAGCAGAAAGGTACCACAAGCATTTTTGAATTGGAAGTTTATTGCAACAATCATTAGCTTTTCTGGAACAACCAGGCCCAGCAAAAAATGTTCCTTTTACGTTTCAGAACCTAAGAAAAAACAAGAACATGAAACTCAGTGTTCACATTTTTCTCTTTCGCCTCCATTTTCCAATGAAGCAAACGCTGTGTGCAAATTTGTTGCATGAAAGAATTATACAACTAATAACCCAGAACTGGAAATTTGAAAGCACAGAAAGAAAACGAAGAGAGAAGAAGTTCAAGGCTTTGTCTGATTCAACGGAAATTTCAAATTTCTTTTGTTTTAGCTGATGACCAGAGCCAAATCCACTTACCCAACTATTCCTTTGAACCTCAACGGCGAATGCAAGCTGAGAGCCTCTCACTGCAAAGCCCTAATCCTAATTCCTCTGCCTTTAAACCCTAACAATTGTGAAGTTGGACTTCCACTGTCACCACCGCTACTTTATCACCAGAGCCGCTTACTGTAAAACCCAAGCTCTTCTAATTATTGCCATTTAAAAAATAAAATAAAACGTTTTCTCCGAAAAAAAAAAAAACCCCCCCAAACAAGCATATGATGCCAATCCTAGTTTTTAGGTCAATCATTTCCTTGGTTAAATTACAGGTCAATGCAGTAATTTCATTTTATTTTTGTATATAAGAAAAAAATAAGAGTACAAAGAGAAAGCGGTGGTAAATCTTTGGTTAATCACCAATGGTCCAAAATTTCTATATTGATTACTCATTTTATTTAAAATTTGAAGGAAAAAATAGACATTTTATGGTTATGCTTATTCTTGTATCGGATATCTATTTACTATACAAGCGATAATCTAAAGAACTCTTAAATATTATAATTTAGACTTATAATCTCCCTAACGAAGGGTCCCTAAATGTGGTGGTTAGAGCCACAATAAGGGGCTATATCATTTCGGGCTCTATATTGTTTTTATGATGTAATTTGGTTTGAGGACAACCACCCCCCCCCCCCCCCCCCCCCCCCAACAACCAAACAACACCAACAAAAACTATCCTAAAAACTAAATAATGTATATATGTATCTCACATTCACACATATCTCAATCACCAAACACAACAGGGCATTGTTTCATGTGGAACTCGAAATTAAGCATGGCTGCTGGGGAGCCTGCTCAGAACAGAGTGCTCTGGCTTGTGGTCACATTCATAATCGAGATGAACGAACGCCCGTTCGACTTCTGGGAGCTCTTCAATCTTGATTTGCAATGACTCTCCAATTGCATGAGCTTCTTTTAAAGGCAAATCTTCTGGCAGTTCTACGTCAACCTGTTTTTTAGAGGAAAATTCTGGTAAGGACTTGGGAGGACAGGAACTAAAAAGCAGTTTTGAAATGAAATATGCCTTAGAATATTTTCTTAGAATATTTTCGGAGAATGTTTTCAGAGAATGAAAGCCAAATTGGCCCGTTCGGTAACGTTTTCGAAGAATGTTTTCTTAGAATATTTTCAGAGAATGAAAACAAGAAAACGAATTTGTATTTTCAGTAGATGAAAATGCATCTGATAGATAAAGGTAGTACAATTTGAAATAATAATATGTGAGTTCTTTTTATGAAAATGTTTCCCATGAGAATGAAAACAACTTTTTTCTGTTTTCTACAAGTACACATGAACTTGTTTTCATTTTATGAAAACATTTTCAGTGTTTTCTGTTTTTGGGCTACCGAATGTGTTTTGGCCTCTTTTTTTTTTTTTTTGAAAATAAAAACAACCCTTTAAAACGTTACCGAACGGGCAACAACTGGTTTACAGCGGCTAGATTTCATGAGAAAAAGAAATGATTGGTGTACAAATTAACACTAGAAATCAAGTTGAACTTAATACTTTAACATTGCACCTCAACGAAATAAAGAACCCCAAACGTGTAGGCACGAACTGTATCGACACGTCTTATTAATCTGTGGTGCCTTAGGATGAGGTATGTCAATTTCTGCAACACTTGAGGAGGAGCTGATTGTCCAACCAGAGAAACTGCATGAAGAAGCAACCAATAGAATATCAGTGTTCCCCGCTATAAAATTATTCCGAGTCTTTATCTATATGGCTTTCAATCAAAAGCACAGAACAACCTTTTGTGTGTGTGGGGAAGAGAGAGAGAGAGAGACCTGCATTTTCTAGCACAGTTCCGGACCAATTGGAAATTGTGTAGAATGCTAGGATGATAGCCCCAACAGGGTCAATCCACCAACAGAATATATCACCAAGAACAGCAGCAACCAAACCAACTAAGTTTGTTACCACATCAAAATAATGATCCTGGCAAGCATCAGTTTGAGTAATGCAGTAAGATCACAAAGCAGGAGGAGCAAATATGAAGTTTTATGTGTTATAAATATGTATAAACCTTTGCGTATGTGCGGACAATTGTGTTTCCAGAGCTTCTGCAATAACACCAAAGGACAAGTTTTACTCCAGTAGCTGTCAGCATGATGGCATACAACCAGATCAAGTTTTCTGAAATCATCTTCTCAGAAGGTTTGTCCTTGATCAGTTGTTCAAGGGCCTGGATAAGCACTTGAAAGCCTGCACTGGAGTGAAAGGGCTATAGTGTATGCCTTCAATTTTTCATATAGTCTTAAAACAGAACTTAAGTGAAGAAAGAAAACCCATTAGCACATTTTCAAGGATTCTAATGCAAGTGAAAAGATTCAGCTTCATACAATTATGGTTGCCAGTGTTCCAGTTATATTTGAGGAGTTGAAATTTTGCTTAAACTACTTTAGTCTCTGTTTGTATGGCATGAAAATTGAATCTGCAGGAGACATATGCCCCTTGATGAAAAACATTTGGGGGTTATTTTTTGAACATGCAAATGAATAATTTGTGTAGCCTAAACATATATATTTCAACAGTACAATGGATCATTTTCACTGAACTTCCTAATATTATGATAAGGTAGAGGCTAGACCACATTACATACCAAGAGTAGCCATGACAGCCGCGAATACAACGATGCCTACTGGTTGCACTCTCAATTTCCCAATAGGGTACTTGTAGATATTTATGTCTTTCATGGACAAGT